TGTACTTTTCCAAATTTCAATTCATTTTCGGATATATTTTCAATTTATTTCGGTCTGTAAGTATAAATATTATGCTACTTTTCTTTGATTTCGATCAATTATTAGTTTTCAATGTAAAGAAAAAATCACCGATGTACTTACGCCCATACGGTATGTACCTCAATCAGTACGTTCGCGGCAAGGTACAGGAAATGTAAAAATATGTGTATGTATATATATGTACACATGTATGTATGTATCTATGAAAGCAGTTAGAAAAACAAAGAGAACTACTTTTATACAAACTCTTGTAATGTTGTCACAGCTAGAAAACGAAAAACATGAAATTTACGAGTGAAAAGTAGTTTTCCTAATAACCAAATTCTGTGTACAAACAACATTGTATTTCCATATGGATGTATGTATCTAAGTCTATAGCAAAATGAAAAATATTTATTTCTTCGGTACTTATTGATAATGCTAAAGAGACGTGAGAATAAGGAAAATTAAAGGGCAAATTCGAAAGTACCATCTAATGATGTTTAAAAATAAATTTTTATTTAAAAGCGAATTTTAATAATAAGGTAAAATAATTGTAAAATATTATATTTCTTTAAAACTTAAGAGCTATGCCATAAAACACTAGAATTCGAATTATGTTGGAATAAACAAAAAATATCTCTAAAAAGATTCGTTTCGAGGTCAATTCAATATTGAGTTCATATTCATACGAAAAAATACTACATACATACTCGTATATTTTTTATAACATTATGCTTTTCAGTATGCCGAGAGAAAAAGCGAAAAGAACGACAGCAAGTTAAATAAAAATAAGTATATACAAAGAAAAAAATTAAAGCAAATCTAGCATTATAATGTGCAAAAGAAAGATAGAGTTATATTCAAATGCTCGTAGCAACAGCAATTTTAAAAAAAAAAGCGTATAAAAGTAAGAGTAAAAGAGACCTACATATTTAGTATTATGTGAATAATTTATACTTTTTTTAGTGACATCCAAATCAATTAAAAATAAAATTTTGACATTTCTTAATACATAATTTCCTTTATTTTGGTCTAAATAAATTAGTTTTTCCTATCTTTGTGACAATATATCACAAAATTTAAACAAACGTGAATATGCCTAACATACTCACATTAAATGTACTTACATATCTAGTATAAAAGATATGTGCTTATGTATATGAATAAATATATATATATATATGCACATATATATATGTATGCCTAAATTTGCAGGTGTGTGTGTATTGTATACAAATGTTAGTAAATGCCACGAGTCATGATATAACAAAATGTCTGGATTGCTAATTCGGAAACAAAAAAAAGTTATTTTAAAACAAAAAGTCAAAGTATGAATGGTCTTACAATATTTTTAAAGACTGGAATAATGTTAAGATTATAAAACGAATCTAATTTATGCACATCTGACCATGAACATACATCTATACATATAATATTTATACATATGTATATACATACATATGTACATATACTCGTCCCCAATTTGCTTTAAATATGATATCGCCCTTCTAATTATGTATAACAGATATTACAAAGAAAATATTAAATGAGTTGGCTAGAAAATGAGAGTATAACATCAATGTCGTCATAACGTTATGTATGTTGATGTTTAGCTATTCATCTAAAAATAAACGAGATTTTTTTTCAATAAGAAATTTTCAATTAGCAAATTTGAAAAATATTATCCATAGTTTCGGACTACATTTTAGAGGGCCTTTGGTGAACACCTTTCCATATAACTAGTGCAATTTGTAAGTACATATATACTAATATATACATCCATGCATAAATATATACATAGAAACATATATACATATGTTGTATTTCGTATTGCATAAAATACATATATACATATGTATAATAAAAATGACAATTCTTATTGCATTGTATGTATGAATTAATATATGTATATTTAAGTATAGATATATATGTATATGTATGTAAGTGTATATTAATGTATGAATGTTGTATGGACAGCTCTTAGCGCTAAGCATAAACAAACCTACATAATATACATATGTGTGCATATATGTACATAGGTAAATACATACAGGCATACATAAATATGTTTTTGTACATATGTACATACTTATGTATATATATATTAAAATATTAATATACTTACTATGAATGTAGGTTTTTGTACATACATACATATGTACATACATAACTTGAACAAAAAGTATATGCATATTATGTAATAATTTACATATCAAATATGTATGTATTTATGTTTATATGTGTGTAGTAACATATGTATACGTTTTCATTTGTTTTCAGCTCATATAGGTACATATGTATGTATGTACGTATGCATGTAAATATGGAGTTTTAATATCTATGATGTTTTGTGTGACATACATATTTAAATATGGACATATGTACATACATACATATGTATATAATTTTGTAAACATACGCAAAGTATGTAGAATTTATGTACTATAACGCAATTTATATACATATGTTTGTCAATATATATGTAGATACATATGTATATTTATTTTTACATGCAGTAGAACGTGTATGTCCATGTACAAATCTTTACATATATACATATGTACATACACATACATACATTATATATCTTTTTATATGGTAGGGTTATTATAGAATTGGGCTACAAATTCTTTTTACATAACTTTATCATATTTACTATTCTTACATACATATACATATACATATACATTTGCATACATACATATATACATTTATGTACATATGTATGTACATATATTTTAGTACACAAACAGACAGCGTAGTATTTCAAGTCAGCGTAGCGCTCTCCCCATTTCGAACCAATATTATTTTTAACCCCGAACTCTTCCAAGTTTACATACATGCATATGTACATATACATACATACATATACATTTTTCCATTACTTTTTTTAGAGAACAACGGCAGCGATTCACGTCAGTCCGACATTTTGTTTTAGCATTTTTATAATATTTTACTTTTATACAGTAAAGCAATAGAAAATTAAACTTCAATCGAACTACTTATATTATAGAAAGTAATGCATAGTTCATTTTAAAATATTATTGCCTTATAATAACTCTTATTGTTATAATAATTCAAAATCATTTTATTGTATTTTTTAGCATTTTGGAGTCCTCATGTGCTTCTTATGTTAACTAATATATTTTTTGCGAATTAGAATAAAAAATCAGAATTATTTAAAATCATAATTATGTTTATGAGTTCGCTTCACATTTTTTTAAAAGAAAAAAAAATGTTAACGATTTTCTTAATTAAAATCACGTCAATGCTATGTAATATTTTCGTTCTCAGAAAGCGATAATTATTCCTGCACAATGATTATTTTTGAGAACGGAAATAATGTTACCGAAAATTGATAATTTCTGTTTTCTAATTAAAAATGAAATTTAGATAAATGTTTGATTAGTTTCGATATTTGGTTTTTTTGGCTTCATATTTTATAATAAACCATATTAAAAAATCTTATTTTCATGCATGTTCATCATATAGTTACTGTACTGTATATTCCAGTCTAATCATAAGATATGAAAAACTTAAATAAGCAGTCGCTTAAATTACGCATTTTATTACGACATTTGATTATTTTCTGTCAAACCTCTTTAAAGAAGCTTTAAGGATTTAAATATTGTTTGTAGAACTTAAAAAGTTATTAATTCGAGAACGGGGCCGTATCCGAAAACGCGTCTGTACACATGTACATACATATATGTATATACATATATGTACATATAGATACATACATATATATGGATTTTGCCTTCATAAATAAATATACATATGTATGCATATATATATGTATGTATATACACATATATGTATGTATATATTAATATACTTTTGTATGTACGTAGTATATAATATGTAATTTGAACTGAGAAGAGAGTAAACGGAGATTTATAATTTTAATTACACGTACATATGCAAATTATACGCATATGTTAAAAATTAAGGAAATGCGAAAGGGCTAGGAAATAGAAATAAAAATTTAGGGAAACTTGAAGTTTTTTTTTATTCGTTTGTTGGAATTTTATAACATTTCGAAGTAATTTTTTCTCTTTCTAACAATATTCATTGTTTCTCTTTCTTTTTAAATTACGCTCTCTTTCACACTCTCTAAATTTTTGTATATGAACGAAAAATATTTTATATGTACTCATGCAGCAAGCTTGTGAATTTTAATTTATACACGTTTTCGAAAAATGGTTTTTTACATTTCTAATTTTGATAATAAAATAAAAAAATTACTATGCATACAAGAATATACATAAGTATATATAGTTGCATGTATTTTTGAAAACTTACTATTTCTAACTAATCAAAGATTATAGTAAGAAAACGTCCCAAATTGGAAAAGGCCTATCCCAAATGCTCAAAAGGAGAGTTTCTCTTTCAAAATTGATTAGAGAAAAAGAGTGAACTTTCAAGTAGCATAAGTTGATTTTATAATCTAAATAAGTAATTACTAAAAAATATCTAAATTTTAGCCAAAAGCTACACAATAATTATTAACAAATTGTTCTTCGCAAAACATTAGTAGAAAAATTACATAAAAGAGAATTAATTTGATTCTATATTTATATACATATGTATGTATATACGTGTATGTACATACATATGTGTATAAATATGAAAACCATGCACACATTTACATTATGTGTATGTGAATAAATTATTAGAAATCTAAATGTATAAAGTAAGTTTTATGGATAGAAGGAAATAATGCAAAATATCAAAAATATTTTGTCAAAATTTTGAAAATTGTAATATTAAATAATCGGGGCCTTCTTAAGTATAGAAAATTAATGAAACTTTCCTTAGGTTGAAGCATTTATGTTTTATCAATTGCTTAACAACTGCGGTCACATTGTACTGTGCCCGCGTACTCGTACTCGTACTCGTATATTCACATTCCGTATTTTTTTTTGTTTCTTTTTTCTCATTGCTCGTTTTGAAAAATATTATATTCTCTCTTTCAGTTGTTTGGCTGCTGTGTTTGAGGATAGTTGATTATTTTAGAATTCGTATATATTTATTTTTTTTGGGAGTAGAATTATTTTGTTTTGATTATTTAAAAAACTAAGTTAAACCAATGCTTTAGTATAATGAAAGACAGTAAAAATTATAAATTATTTGTTTTAGTATTTTCAAGTAATTTTCATTGAGATATTAAAGACTTTTATTGAAAGTTAACTTTTTTTGAAATATGTGTTAACTTTTAAAATGTTTAAATAAAAATATAAATCTTGTATTATAAAAAGAAAAAGCATTCATAAATTTTTTGACGTTTGAGTTTTGTTACATATGAAAGAAAAATAAAGCGGCTGTCAAAATTGACGTTTGTTTTGACAATTTGAATTGTGGAAAATAAAAAAATTGGACAAAAGTGTTTTCATTGGATTTTGAAAGGTGAGAGAAAATTGTGTTTTTTTTTTATTTTTTTTATTAAGAATGGTTAGATCTAAATATTTGGTAGCATTTTGCAATAAACTAAATTTCATATAATAATTTACTGAAAAAGTACATTTTTAACGTAACATGACCATACAAAAAATTTTTGATATTGGGGAGGTCGTTTATAAACTCATAAGCAAAAGTTACTATTAAATAAGAATAAATATCTTATGAAACAAATTAAATGTTAGTAACTTATTTTTTTATTTGTATAAATTTTACAAAGTTTCACAGTATCCTATTACTTTTCTTGCAACTTTTCCCGCCAAATTGTTTAATGATTCTTACAACTTACTTAGAAGTTGCCTTGCACGCACATCTTTTATTTTAGAGGCTGTATACACGTATGTATATACAAAAGTATGAACTGAATTGTGTTGTAAATATGTACATAAGTATATAATTTAATATAATATTATGTATAATATAATACGAATATTATGTATAATAATAAATTTTTGTACGAATATTTTTATTGGTTATAATATAACCTATTATATTATATTTTAATGTATTTAGTTTAGATTCTACTAAAATTGAACTATCTAGTGATATTAATTTTTTTAGCCGAATATAAAACATTTTTTTATGATATTTATAAAATTAAAAGAATACTAACAAAATATTCAAAGACTTAGGACCAAAGGCAAAGTGAGACCTAACATGACCAAATTAACTTGTACGTACATACATTCATATATACATATTTAATTTAAATCTTCTCTGACTTCCTGTCAAAGTTGACAAATGTGCCCTGACAGAAAAAATATATAGAAAAACGTTCATATTTGACATTTGGTTTCAAATCGCCGCATAAAAGTTCATTTTAGTCATTCGGTCTGTCTGGTATAAGTTTTTAAAATCTTTCAAAAACTTCATAAAGTTTTTGCATCCAAAGTGTCTGGGATAATACTTTTTGAACAAAAATAGGAGAAAATGATGACATTCTCATTTTCTCAATGTTAAAAGTTTTTTCAAGTTTTGTAAGTAAAATTTAGTGTTTTAAAAACCTAAAATTTACAGCTGTCGATTTTTTTTTTAAAAAAAAATTTCAGTAACAATTTTTTATTCAAAACCAAAATGGGTTCACAAATGGTTTTTCTAAGTTGAATACTTTTATAATTCAAAATCAAAATTTTTGGTTTTTTGTATAACCAAAAAATATTTGTTTATTTTTAATAAATACTTTTAAGTTTGACGTTTATCACATACATATAAAAGTTTTTCGTCTGGTTTATTTTTTTAAATGAGAGTTTTTCTCTTTCACACATAGTTTATTCAAGTTTTATTCAAGGCAGACCCCTATTATGAGTTATAAAAGAAATTTTTAAGGCTGACATAAATGAAAGTGGTATGCGGCTATCAAAAAACAAAAAAAAAAATTGGTTATATTGTACTCGTATTTAAATGGTTATATTGGTTATATTGTAACCCCACCTTAAATGAATTCGGATATTTTCATTATTTTTGACGTTTTTTAAAAATGTAATTCCTATATGTAATAAATGTATAATACATGTATATGTACATGTTTATTAAATAATATTTGCGTTCCATTTACCCGTTGAAATTACTCATGAGCAGCTAAAACAGAGCATAATTACACTACCCCGAATAAATGCGTAGATGATCTGTGCAGTTATGCTATTTTTTCGGTAGATAGAAGTATTATTTTATGTATGTACATCAGATAGATTTTGTGTCTTCGGAGTTATTTTGGCATTTAATTATAATATTTGATTTTTTTTTAATAAATTGACATTTAAACAATTAAAACAAATTATAGGAGAAACAAATTGTTGAGCCAAAAATTGAGGTTATATTTTACTCGTATACTGAAAAATCGTCCTATTTACAAACTATGCATATACGTCATATGTATGCACATATATAATCATGAGTAGTTTGTAAATGGAACGCAAATAATATGTAATAGTATATTGCCGTTCAATGTAGGTATGTCGCAGCGACAATGTGCTTATTTTTATTACAAGATACAGCATCAATTTAGGTTTAGCACTTAGGAACGAAATTATTTTAAAAATAAATTGTCGTAATATGTAGTAATCAAAATTACCCTATTGCCACAATTTCTATAAAAATAGTATTGATATTTGTGAATGTCAAAAAAAAGAACTAAATTAATTTATAAATTTTCACACCATCTTAGAAAATGCAAATATTTTCCTTTTTGGTTATATAATCGTTCCCTGTGTCAGTAGTGTAAAATCAAATATTTCACAAACGTAGAACCATTTAGATTTAACACCCAATCAAGGAAGTTTCACATTTCAACTGATTTGTGTGTACTTTTTTATTTTGGTTTCTCATTTTCTTTTCTTACATTTCCAAACATCTTGTTTTCGGGAACCTTTTTACATAATATTGCTTCTGACTATTGAGGAACTTTTTGTGTAAAAAGATATTTTTTATGTTAATCATATAACGACGTTGGCGCTTCGAAGTTATAAAAAGAGCAGCCCACTGACAAAAACCGTCGATAACCAAAAGCCGATTAATAGGCTACCGGTCAATAAGCGCTGGTAATCGAAAAGCCGATAAATAGGCTACCAGTCGATGAGCTTAAGGAATCGAAAAGCCGATAAATAGGCTACCGGTCGATGAGCGTAAGGAATCGAAAAGCCGATAAATAGGCTACCGGTCGATAAAGTGTTAAAGAAATGACACTTCCGAAATAGTATTTCCTTTTTTTTTGTTTTATCTTTTTATGGAATGCATGAATTTTTCTATTTTTTCGACTTTCCTATTGAAAAAGTTGAATTTTTTTTAAATAAAATTTCGAATTTTGGGACCAAACCAAAAATTTTAATATTAACGCGAATTTTTATTGTAATAACAATTAAATATAGTTTTTAGTTTTGCTAAAATTTTCTAGAAGCACTGATAACAGCTGAAAAATTGGTGGCTTATACATGTCATCTTTTTTGACATTTCTTTTTTTGTTTATTGATGAGCACTAAAATACGAAAGGGAAAAAACTATACTGGTATTAATTTTGTAGAGTTTATTTCTCATTTTGAAGATGCAGTTTGATCTGCTTCGTGATTTAAACACACTAATACAATTATATATTCAGCCCTATTAATAATTTCGTTCGCATCTTCACAATTCGGCAAATTACGAAAATCATATTCTCAATTCCAAATTACCAAAATTCTACTACGAATATTAAATTTTCAAATTTTAAATTTTTTAAGCATGAAAGGAAATTAATTCATATTTGTTAAAAAAATTTTTTCACTTCAAAAATATAAAAAAAACTGAAAAAACTCCGTTTTTCAAAAATATCCTTTTTTTTATGAAAGTTGTGTACTTAAATAGCAACAAAAAACATAAACAAACATTTGACAGTTGATATAAAATACTGATTTTGACACTCCGAAAAATTGTGTTACCATTGTTGATTCACAATCTCTACGAAAGGAATTTGGGATAATTTAAAATTCTACGACGTAGTTAAGTTCGTAATTCGTAGAGTTCTGCGAGGGGAATTCATGATAGGGCTGAATACTTCTAAGAGGTTTGAATTTTTGTCAGTCATGTTGAGATTCGTATTGCTTTAATAATCCATTATCATAGCAAAATAAGTGAAATTTTAAAATGGATTACTATAATAGATTCCTTTAAAGAATATTATAAAATGTGAACGGAATTGGAAACTACTGCTTTTTATTTTTATAAAATTTTAGATAGGAAATTTTAATAAAGCCAAGAATTTTATTTACACAAAATAATTAACTATCTTGTATTTAATTATTAATACAAGATAAAAATACAAATCTTCTTATGGAGAACGCAGCTGATTTTAAATTTCGGCTGAAAAAAAAATTTTTCCACTAGTTAGCTCCATCAGTTGTGGTTGGAACTACAAAGGAAGAGTTCATAATTTCATATTCTCAAAATTTTGTATAGTGAAAACAAAAACAACAAAAATAACTTAGTTTGGCTGTCAATTATAAATTTTGATAGTAGATTTATGTGAACTCCACTGTATGCAGTTTAATTGTTCTGCAAATCAAAAATTTGTGAATGAGTTTATTTTTATGTATTATATTTCTACTTAAAGATAGATGTCGCAATGTAATTTAGAAAATACCATAGACTTACTAGATTAATAGAATGGCACTGTAAACTTCGTTTTCTCTAAGGGATTTCCTATCTAAACAATTTCCGTAAAAAAAATTTATAATTTTGAGGCTCAGATGTTTTCGACAATCCTTTTATTTTAATTCAAATATCCCAGTTATTTTAATAAAATAAGTATGTCAATATTTTTGAATGAATGAAATCTCTAGAATAAATTCCATAAAAGAATTCCAATAATTCTAGAAGTTGCAAATAATTTACGTAGGAATTGTAAAGAATTTTTTTTTATGAACTATAACACAGCACTTTAGTTTATATTTTTTTATATGTTTTAATTTTTGTTTTTACGAAATACTTTTCTTGTCACAAAAATGGAAATACTACTAATGGTGAGAAAGAAATGTAGAAATTAAAATACTAAACTTATTAGGGAAAATATTTTTTTGCGGTAAAGTACTCTAAGAGAATTTAAAAATGGAAACTCAGTTGTTCTGTAATTTTGAGTCGAAAATACTTTTACTAATAATTAAATAGATACGGAAAAATATTTGCATATATTTATGCATGTATTTTTATCATACTTATTTATATATATGTATGTTATGTACCTTTGTATATTATAAAAATTCCTTTTTTTCCGGATTCAAAATTAAAAAAAATTCAGGTCCTTTGAATTTTTGCATAATAAATTTCTTGAAATGTGTTGTTAGTTAAATTTCATTTAAATTATTTGAAAGCTTTAAATCAATTACATATGTTTGTTATCATATTTCGTACATTTTTAAAATTGAGACATTATTTTCAGATATTTTATATTTTAAACGGATTTCAAATATACTGAAGTTACAATGATGGAAGTCACACAACCGTCTTCTAACTTGAACAATTTTAAAACACAAACTAAAGTACACGATGTACCCCCTTCTGAAAGTGATGATATGGAAAAATTACAATTTTCAGAATCTGAAGATGAAATGTCCAGAGATAATACCACTGGAAGGCAAATTGAAACGGAAGCTTTATACAATGGTAAATTAAAAGGTGAAACGTAAAAGTTTAATTTTATTTTACTTTATCTATAGCAACCTTTTTACTTTTAGATGATCACATTGAAAAGCAAAATGGTGATATTCCCTTGGAAAAAAATGAAAGTCTGATTAATGAAACTTGTAAACCTTCTGATGATGATATTGAGGACTTTTTATCGGAACTTGATAGCGCTATAATGAATTCACCAATTAAAGAAACTGCACAAAAAGACTTAACAACAACGCCAACAAAGAAATTAGATGAAAAAGGTGCCGAAGATGTTATTTTAATAGAGGAAAGTCCTGTTCATCAAGATAGTGAAAAGATATTGGAATCTTCTAAAAGTATAGAACCAGACATTCAAGATATTTCTGATGATGAGGAAATAGTTTTTCTTCCTGTTAAAAAAGATGATAGCGGTTTTAAACCCAATACAACGGAAAAAGTTAAAACAACTGAGGAAGGAATAATAAGTGATGAAGATGACGACATCATTTTTTGCGATGTTGAAGGAAGTTCAAAGAAAAATGAAGAGATTTCACAAAAAATTGAACAATCCGATAACACAGATAGGGAATCAAATAAAAGCGACAAAGTCGAAAATAGTGAATTAAATTCTAATAAGACATGTGAAGAAGTATTGACGGAATCCGTTAAAGCTATAGAAACTGATAAAACTGAAATTAAGTTATTGGAAGACGAAATTGAAACTGACGTTGACATGGTAAAAGATCAAGATTTGAAAGTAAAGGAAGATGATGAATCAACAAAAATAACTTTAGATATTCAGGAAGATGAAATTAGAAAAAATTCTGACAAGAAAGAAGAAAAACAAAGTAGTTGCACAAAAGGTGCTGTAGAAGAAATAGAGTCCACTATGGAGAAAACGTCACAAAAACCATCAGTTGAAGATGAGTGTCAATCGAATTTGATTAAGGAATCTGAAGAAACTGAGGAAACAGACAATAATGCGCAATCAGCATTTAATAGCCAAGAAGATATTGTAGATGACACTTCCAATTTTAGTGAAAAGCTTCAGGAAGTAGATGAGTTAGAAAAAATGGAATCCGAAAAAGGAAATGAAGAAATCAATCAAATATTAAGAAAAGAGGAAGAGGAATTAGAAAAACTGGATATTAGTTTTAATAGTACAGTTCAAAATGAAAAAAATTCTGAAATTGAAAGGGACTTTGTGGCAAATGTGGAAAAACATAATAAAAATTCACTTGAAGAAAGAAGATTATTAAAAGACTGTGATGATCCAAAGAGTAACGAAAGTGTTCCAAATGATGAAGAAAAAATTGAGCAAGACTTGGTAACACTGGAGGACAAAATAAATGTAGAAGTAGGAGATGAGGACAATGATAATTCTACTGAATGTAACAAAAAGGGAATTATTGAGCCCGAATGTAACATGGTTCACTCCGGAAATGCTGAAGAACCCACGGAGTCAAACGATTCAAAGTCTAACATGGATGATATTCAAGTTGCTAAAACTGTACTAGAGGATAATCCAGATAATGAAAAAGAATTGCCGGAAGAAAAATCATTATGCCCCCAAATTGAGGAAAATAAAAATCAGAACAATTTAAAATCAGAAGGGGTAGTTCCAATTATTGATAATCTTCATGATCTAGCTGAAAATAAAAAAGAGGAATCATTGAGTGTAGAATCCAAAGCCGAAAAAAATGAAAAGAAAGATGATGACTTGCAGCCCCCAGTGAAAAAAATTCGTCTGTCTTCAGATCATGATAGTGAACTCTGCAAAGTTATAGAGGAATCAATAGACAACTTGCAATGTGCTAAGGATAGTGCAGTGATGGAAGATAACGCTGAAAAACGACTCGAAGAGCATCCTACTGGTTCTAAAGACTCAATTAACAAGGAAAATTCGAATGCGACGGAAACTGAAGCATGCGCACAAGACAATGACGTCAAAAAAAAAACTGCCCAAACAGTTGAAAAAGAAGAAGTTGTAGATAAACCATCAGAAGAGAAGTCTCTGGGAACAAGTGAAAAAAATGAAAATAGTGGAGATAAGAATTCGAAAGATAAAGCTCCAGCAGTTAGTGGCGAAATTGAAAGTAGTGGAGAAAATGCCAATCAAAATAAAGTAGATTTAAAAGTGACAAAAGGCATTGACAAATCCGAAGTAGAAGACGATGATATTGTTTTAATTGATGAGGAAAAAGACAGTGCCGCGAAGAAAACCTTGAAACGCAGTCTCAGTCAGGAAAATCTTCTTGATGGCAAAAAAATGAAGCTAGACACTTTGGCCGATAAAAATGCTGAAATGTTAGAATTTAAAGAATTAATATCAAATATACCGGAACAACCAGTTTTATATCCCGCTCCCAAATTGCCAAAAGATGGTGATATTAATCTTGAATTTATGAAACGCTTCAAAAAATCTATTAATTCTATGTCGAGAAACGATTTAGAAGTATTTGTTTCGCAGAAAGTCGTTGAGTCTATTATATATACTTCTGAATTCGGGCAGATGCGTGATCATATAGACAAACAAGAGCAACTCATTGAAAACTTCAGAAAAAAAATTGCAGAATTAGTAAAGCAATTTAAAGATTTGAAAATGGTTCACGATCGCGTTTTAAAAGATTTGGAAACCAGAAATCAACAATTCATAATGCCCGTAAAAATAACTCGAGCCGTTGGTTTGCAAGTAGTTATGCCAATTAAATCTCAGCAAATCAATCGTGCAAATACCCCACAGGGGTCTGATCCTAGAAATGCGCCTATACCACAAAAAAATAATAATTTACAAAATAATGCAATACAGTCTACTAATGACAATTCAAATAGATCTGTACCGCAACAGCAACCACAGCAGCAACAACCTCAATCTTTACAACGGAACAGACCCCATCAAAAATTTACTCCTCTTCGTCCAGATACACCACAAGGCCCCTCAATGAACAGAACTTCTCCTAATACTTCCGCTAATTCAGCAAATAATGTTCCTGGGCAACAAGTTGCAACAAATAATTTCGCTCAGATAATCAATGCACAAAACTTAACACAACAAGACCAACTAAAACAACAACAGATAGCTCAACAACAAAAACAAGCTTTAAGTCAAAAGCATTTGCAGGCGCAACAACAATTAAAAAAGATTTCGGTTCTTCGGCAACAGCAAATGCAAAATAGTTCAAACTCACCAACCCAAAACCAACAACTTTTGCAAAAGACGTCGCCGAACCAGGTTGTTAGAAAATTAACCGCTCCGAACCCTAATAGGAATCGTACACCTAGCGGAAGTATATATCCATCGCAATCCCAACAAACACCAATGCAACAAATTCTTGTGTAAGTACAAAAAGGATTTGGAGAATAAAGAATTCTCAATTTTAATTCGAACAATTTTTATTTAAAATGACAGTATATTATTTAAAAAAATGTTATGTTTCCAAATTTACTAAAATCAATAATCATATTAAACTTTAAGCTTGTTTGCCTTAATGAAATAACGATTTTTATTATGCAGGAGAAAATCAACTGGTGCCCCACAAGTACCTCAAAAAGTAAACCAACCAACTATGCAATCGAATGCTACGAAATCGCTAAATACAAACGTTCAAATAAAACCTAAACCGGTTATTGATTTGACTGATGAAGATGATATGCCGTCGAGATCAAACGCAACAAAACCACAGAGTAGTCCTCCTGCACTAGTTGTACTGCCTGGACAAAATCCAGCGCGATTGTCTTATGTGCTAGATAAGCAGAAAATGCAGCAACAAGCGGCAATGCAACAAAGAATGCTTTCGCAATATGCTAGGCCTAACAGACCAATGCCCCAACCAACTCCATCCGGTAAGTTTTAAATATATATTTTCAAATAAATTTACGTTCTCTTTTATTTGATCTATTGATGGATCCATTTTTTAACGGTTTGCAATAGGAACTGAGTCAGGAACTCTTCAGAAAGTTCGGGTGGTATATAGTGAATCGCTACCAAGACCTAAATTAACATTTTTTAAAGTATGCTAATTAAAAGCTTACAAGCGTTTAAAATAAGAATTTAAACGACGTTTTCAAAACTCTGTGTTCGATTATGATCACATCTGATCTTTTTTATGTCGGGTTTTACATGTTCATGAAATTAACTCGATTCGATGACTAATTAACGTTCTTTGAATTTCAGAAATGAAATTTTATCCATGTTTAAAATAGAGTTTGAGCACTAAACTTTAGCTAGACATGAAATCATGAAAAACAAAGTTTATATGCTTTTTTTAGAAAAATCATATGCCAATAGGATTTGTAATAAATATAGCTGTCCTTACAATAATCCAAATGTGCGTTTTTTAGTTTATTATAAGTATTAAAATACTTTAGTATTCCACAAGTTGTATACATATTTAATTTACTTGTAAATTATTACATTTAAGTTTGTTTAAAGCTTTTAATGTTATTTCAAAAAATTTAGTTAAATTTTTTTTCTAATTTAACATTAACGAAACATTAAATACTAATTTTAAAGTTGCCAAAAATATTAAATGATTCTGTATTTGAAAAGTGTATTTAAGGCTTCCAAAATGTAATTAATTAGTACATATTCTAATTTATATTTATATACATACATATTTATACAATTTATGAAATTTATGTTAATTATTAAAACATAATTGGTTTTTATTTAATTTTAGCTGTTCGACAAAATCCGCAAAATTCGAGACTTCCGCAAACGCAATTACGTCCACAAAGTCGTCCTATTCATCCTGCTCCGTTACCGCGACAACCAGTTTTGCTAACAAATTCTGCGTGGAAAGAGATCCCTCCACGTCCCTCTATTCAAATCAATAACATAGAGACGGGTATAGTTATATCTTGGACCATGGATGATCTTAACGAAAGCCGTCATGCAGATGTTGTTAGTTATCAAATTTACGCCTATCAAGAAACTTTGGCGCCACCAAATACTGAATCATGGAGACATGTTGGAGATGTGAAAGCAATGTTGTTACCCATGGCTGTAACACTAACCCAGTTCCAGGAAGGTCAACGTTATCATTTTGCTGTTAGGGCTGTGGATGCACACAGTCGTTGTGGGCAATTTAGTTTACCTAAAACATGGTAATTATTTGATAAAAATAAATATATAAAATTAAACTCAACATATAATTATAATAAAAAATCACAAAAAATTTTTAATTGTAATGTAATTATGAAATTTAAGGGAATAATATTGAACACGTTTATCAAAATATTAAAATAATATTATTATACTAAAAAGTCGTATAATCATATAAATTATTTGAGGTTTAATAAATAATAAATAAAATGTCATTTTAGAATTTAAGAATATTTCAGTTTGTAATTTTAACAATATCTTTAATGAAATTATTTATACGTACTATTCAAATATTTGAAAAAAAAAAAAAACAAATTATTATATAATTTAGCATCCATCTTTTAAATTTTAAGTCTCAGAATTACTTGTAGTTATGAGTTGATTTTAGGATAAATATTATTTTAAATATTCAATTTAAAGTTAAGTAGAATTTCAACAGAATTATAGGTTATGAACAGAGGATTAAATATAAATTAAATTGAAAAATATATTTGTTGGTTAATTAATGTTTGACAATAAGTCCATTATTTTGATTTTATTGTTTTATGTTTCTGTTTACTAATCGGTAATTTTTATAAATTTTGTTTTAAAGCACTTCATAAAGTTCTATGAAGTGCTTTAAAACAAAATGTGAGCCAGATTAAATTTTATGTAATTAATAAAAAAAGAGCATGGAGAATGTGTCAGTTCTTGCTCTAATTTCAAAATTTTTGTAATTTGCAGCCCTATCATGAATTTCGTTCGCAGCTTCGAAATTTGGAAAGTTACGAATTTCATATTCCCAATTCCGAATTACTAAAATCCTACTTCGAATATTCATAATAGAGTAATCATAAATTACGTTCGTGGTAAAAATAACCCTCAAAAGTCTACGAAAGAAATAATCACACGCAACAAGCAATTAAAGCAGAAGCAAAGTTTGAAATTTTCAAGTTTTCAATTTTTTTGTTTAAATTTCGGTTCTTCCAACACAGCAGGGATGAAAGGAAGTGAATTCATATTTGCTAAAAATTTTTTTAGCAAATATGAATTCATTTCCAAAAACAAAAAACATAAATGAATACATATTTGACAGTTGAAATAAAATACTGGTTTTGGCACTCCGAAAAATTGTGCTACCATGGCAGATTCATAATCGTAAAGGAATTTGTGATAGTGTAAAAGTCTGTGACGTAGCCTAAGTTGGTAGGGCTGTGGATTGTATTATATATGTTTAACCGTACGAATTAATAGTTGTAAAAATTACATAACTAGCACATACAATGGCATCCAATTTGTAAAGCGTAAAATAAGCAAAGACACAAGATCCAAGTAACAAACCTAAAAAGTTGACAATGTTGTCACAAGTATATGGTTCATGTTGCATTTTTCAGGTTTTGAGAACACAAAACAGACGCTTCTAGCGCAAATTAATTTTTTTATTTTATATTCTTCGGTTAAGTGCTGCTGGAGCTTCAAAAAAAATGGAAAGGTAAGTAGATTAAAAAAAACATGAAAATTATTATAATATGTATATTTTTTCGTGATATTTTTATAAATAATACAATCAATAAAAAATGGAACAAAGAAAGCATGTTGTTCCAAAAAAGGCTGCAATTTAAGTCAGAATTCATCCCGAAAAAATTAAAAAAAATAAAACTTTGGAAAAAGATTTTAGTCAAAATTAGATTTTAGTTTCTTTTTTTAATTGTTAAATTATTTTAAAATTTTGAAACGTACCAAAATCAGATATATTCAACAGATTTACTTCACATTTCATAAATTAGCTTCATTCGACCGCACGCGAATCCTCCTAACCTTTGGAATAAATCAGGTGTCAGTAACTAGACGTTTACTATGAGCCAAATATACATTTTTGCATATATAACGAGAAATAATGAACCGGCAATTTGTCAAACTTCAACGGTTTGCAAGAAACCGTTTCGTATGTAGCGCACGAAATATATTAGCAAAAAATAAAAAAGTATTTTATTCCGAATAGAAGGAAGTTTTCTTTTCATACCAAAAAAAACAAAAGAATTATATTTTGGAAAAATTATCAACCATTGAAAAAAATTTTTTGAATTTAAAAAAAAAGTTTTTGACAGAGGTAGTAAAGGACATATTACATGATTTTGTATTTTAAGTGCTATTGGAACACCAAACATTTTAATTTTAGAAAAAATCAAATTTTTCCTTTTCTTACTGTTTTAATTTTCTCTAACCCGATTTTGTACGAATTTTTTTGAAAATTTCAAAGATTATACATTGCTCATCCTAAATGTTTGCAATTTTCGAAATAAATTCATATATGAATAAAAGTAATTCTGAAAATGTAATACATAAATTGTTTGTAAAAACTGAATTTTCACTTGTTGAAGTGCTACATTGGAAACCATTGGTTTCATCCAACTTTACTCAATTTTGTTTTTCCGTATGAACGATTTTATTAGTAAAAATTAAATAAAATTGAAACTGGTCTCATTATGAAAAATGCGAACTTATTTTATGATCCTCTCCTTTAAGGATATTAATTTTTAATAGTGCCAATCCAATATAATCTAATAGTATAATGTTTTCATTTTTCATTTCAATACTATTAAAATACGCAATTTTTATGCTTTTTATTATGTTTTTGTCCTATCTTTTTACTTTTTTTTTAAATTAGAACTAATATGCAGAAGTACACCTATTGTAATTGTAAGTGCTTTTTTTTATATAAAATTGTTTGCAGGACTATATGAGAAATAAAATATGTAAAATTATCGTTTTTATTATTTTGACCCAGAATTTTCCTCTTATACTTTTAATATGCTAGAAAAGTAACATAATTATTACAAAAAAAAAGAAAAAAAAAACGATTTAATATCGTCTGAGTGGCTTCTAAGCCAAATTATAAATTCAAAAGGAAATGGTTATCAATGTGTGTATGCTTCTATTCACATATATACGTAAAATAAAGGTATGAGGAAGAAAAGTTCAGGTAAATAAAATCAGCTGATCACTTTATAGTTTTCTATAAAATACATATTATTTTTTTTAGATTAATTTTAGTACTCAAATTACTCTTCATTACAGATTTTTTGCTTCTATTTCTGTTGGAAGTGCTAGTGAAGATTACCTGTGAAGGGTTTAAGTTAAAATAAGTCTTGCGCATTTTGCATAAAGAATAATATTGTTGTTTTACCTTTTTTTTCGAAATATAAGGAGATTTATTCGAAAGAAATTTACTGAAAATTTAAAAGCTCTTTCAGAAAATCGTTAGAATTTTTAAATTTTCATTAAAGCTATAAAGTTTTTGTTTAGAGCTATAAAAATTAACGGTTCCTGTCAGCAAGAAAAAAATTCAAGTACAAAGTATTATATTATACGTTATGTGCGTACATATTTTAATTTTTTTATTTAATAAAAACAATGCCTGAGACGAAGTTTAACAATTCTGATCCAACCAGTCCGTAAAGTATCATATTTCCTTGGAACAATAAATTTTTAACAAAACAATTTTCTATTTAAATTATATTTTTTTGACAAGATGTTTACCGTTAGTTTATTGATTTTGTTGAAAGTTTCAAAAGCTTACATAGTTTCGGAAAAATAAAAAAAATAAATGTAAGTATGAGTAGCTGTTACTTAAAAGGAGAAGTAGGCGAGAAAAAAATTTGTTCTATTAAAATAAACCATTAATCAATATCAAAGTGCTGAAACCTTAGGCTTTTAAATCTTACAAGATAACTGTTCTAATAAGAAGTTGCAATTCTTTATTTCTTTAAGTTTGCAAAATTAAAAAATTTTTGTGGTTTTTTGGCCAATTTTTACTGCCTTTAGTTTTGTGTGGAAGGAGGGGGTAGTTTTTTTTCAGTAGAGAAATATTTTTTCTTAGACTTTATTTTTTTTTGGAACTTGCATACAGTTTTCTGTATTATACACAAATTACAGTTTTCTACGTTATCTTATAAACGCACACATTGGTGGGAAAGAGTGAATTTGAAAATCATACTGTTTTTTGAATTTTGTCAGAAATGTTCTAAAAACAAACGGCACGTTTACCTTCATTAAAACTTATAATGGTTTAAAGGTCGAAAAATTTTATTTTCCAACAGTTTAATGTAAAGAAACTAAAAACATACTTATATTCCGAAAATGTAAAAAGATCCTTACAATAACATACGCAAACGTACACTCGATAAAATAAGTACTGATTTATACTTGTAAAATAAAATTTTTTAAATGAATTTTAAGAACTTAAACTTGTTAAAATTTAGTCAACGGAACACAGCCCTTTAATTTTCGAATTTTGATTATGTATTTGTTAAGCTACAGGTTTCAATAGTATGTTTTTGTAGTATGTATAAGATACGTATGTATACATAGTTCAGTATAAAAATTTAATGCAGGACAACATTCTAATATATGCGCGACTTCGTCTAATCATTTATATAGCGGGAATAAAACATAGAAGAGATTTTTCAAAATTTATTAGGATAATGAAATTTTTATGATCTAATTAAAAGATTTATCTATACCATGTAAAAAAGCATCTTTTAAAAATAATTTTAAACTTATAAAAAGAAAAAAAAAGCTTTAAAATTTTTAATTGCAATTAAAATTTTTTTTTGCTCTTCTTTTGTTTTTATTGACGGTCTTCACATTTTTCAATCTTCCCCATAATATTTTGTATTTATAAACTCACTACAAGTATAGGTATTAAAAAATATCTTTTTCATTGAACAACTCTGTCACAAAAGGCAATAAACAATACTACTTACACACTTATGGAGTGTATAGAGCTTATAGTAGAATAGAGAATTTATATCGTGTATATTATATCATATATGTATGTATGTGTCATAGTATCTATATGTATGCCTAAATATTTTAAAAATAATTTTTTTTATTTATGCTTTTAAACGTTTTAAAAGGACCTTTCATTTTATAACTTTATCCGCTTAGAAGCTTAGGAATTTAGAAGTGAAGCAATTTTCAATTATTATATTGCTTTTTGGTACTTTTCTAAAAAAAAATTTGTCCGTTCATTCATCCGTCTGTCCGTGTGTCTGTTTACAAAACTTTTACATTCTTTAAGACAGAAAACTGAAATTTTATATAGAAATAGAACTTTAGTAAAATATTAATTCTGTAGAAGAAAATTTTTGCCTTATGAAAAAAAAAATTTCCCTCCCGGAAAATTTTTTTTTTCACCTCGATCGCCTCTCGAAATTTGCAAAATTTGATTTTTTTGTACCTGATGTTTGCGAAACTGCAAGTTTTTCTAAATTTCTATAAATGCATAAAGCAAACGCTAAATGCCATGGCGTCAAACAAATTAGCTATTTATCATAACCTACTAAATCAATCTTT